CGGGAGCACAAGGAGGCAGAAACTCGGGATATGGAGCCAAACTCTGCTCAGGGCTGAAGCCTGAACCCCCCCCGGCATTGTTTTGGGGGTCATCCCGTCCCTCTCACCGGCCGGTCGATCTGCATGATCTCCCAGAGCACCTCGGCGACGTCAGGCAGGGTGTAGGGCGGGAGGCAGAAGCAGCACGTGTGCAGCAGTTGGTTGACGAGCTGCTGGCCCAGCTGGTTCATCACCTGGCTGATGAGCTCCTTCCGCACCTCAAAGTCTTCCTCGTGCTGCGGGGAGGAGGAAGGAGAAGGGGTGAGCTGCGGCTGGGGGCAGGGACATGGTGCTCCTCGCTCTGGGAGCGACTCCTGGAGCATCTCCGTGGGCAGTAATGGAGGAAACACAGGTGACAGCCCTGCAGGGGACCGGGGTGGCCAATACTGATGAGGATGGCGTCACCATCACCAGCCGTCACCATCCCCCGCATCATCACCCATCATCCATCCTCCTCACCCATCATCCATATCCTCATCCATATCCATCATCTTCATCCATCATCCTCATCCATATCCATCCTCAGCCATCATCCATCACCATCATCCATCCTCCTCATCCTCATCCATCACCCTCATCCTCATCCATCTTCCATCATCCTCATCCATATCCATCCTCATCTCCACCCATCATCTATCACCATCATCCTCATCCATCCTCCTCATCCTCATCCATCATCCTCCATCCTCCATCCTCATCCATCATCCTCATCCATCCCCCTCATCCTTCATCCATCATCCTCATCCATCATCCTCATCCTTCATCCATCATCCTCATCCTCCATCCTCATCCATCATCCTCATCCTTCATCCATCATCCTCATCCTTCATCCATCATCCATCATCCTCATCCTCCCTCCTCATCCTCATCCATCCTCCTCATCCTCATCCTCCATCCTCATCCATCCCCATCCTCATCCATCATCCTCATCCTCCATCCATATCCATCATCCATCATCCTCATCCTTCATCCTCATCCATCCTCCTCATCCTCATCCATCCTCCTCATCCTCCATCCTCATCCATCCTCCTCATTCTCATCCATCATCCTCATCCTCCATCCATCCTCCTCATCCTCATCCTCATTCATCCTCCTCATCCATCATCCTCATCCTCCATCCTCCTCATCCTCCATCCATCCTCCTCATCCCCATCCTCATCCATCCTCCATCCTCCTCATCCATCACCATCACCACCCACCACCACCCACTCACGTCGTTGGCCACGCCGGTGTGGACGAGGTCGCGCAGGAACTTCATGACGCTGCAGTTGGCGTCCCGGTGATCCAGGGTGGTGGCGGCGATGGCCCATTGGAGGATGGGGATCATCACCTGGCTGCGGAGCAAGGTGACGGGGCTGCGCTGGATGAACCTGGCCGGGCAGAGGACACACGGACGTTACCGGCGCTCGGGGCAGACGGGAGCGCTCCCATGACCCCTCCGTGGGTGACAGGAGAGCGGGGGTACCTGGATGCGAGTCGGAAGAGGTCGTCCACGGTGTCCGGGTGGTTCTGAAGGCCGTTGGGCTGCTCGAGGAGTTGGAAGGTGGGGATGCATAGCGCCTAGAAGGGTGGTGGGCGTCCGTTAGTCATCTCCTACATCCCAGAGAGCCCTTCTGCCTGCTGGGAGACTTCAGCATGGACCACAGCAGAGTGATGGAGCTGGGGAGGGCTCTGGAGCAGCCGAATGCTGGGGAGCGGCTGGGGGGGCTGGGGGGTCAAACGGAAAGGGGGC